CTAGAAGAACCTGATTGGTTATTGAAAAGTCTCTGGTCTCAGAAGCAAGATAACCCATTAAAGGCTGTGTCCCTTTGAGGTTTGCCATGTTCTTCCCCACCCACCAACCACCTGCTTTCTAGCAATGGAATTGCTTCTTTCTACAACTTTCCCCAGGTCTCTCTGATGCTTTGAGCACTAATTTCCTTATCCAGGAGGAAGGCAGGTGGGGATTAATAGCTGCTACTCCTTGAGCACCTGCTGTGTACCAGACCTCCTGCTGGGTCCCTTATGTGTCCACACACTAATGCTTTTCACTTAACCCTCATCATCCCACAGGTGCTACTAGCCCTGTTTACAAAGAGAGGGAAGGAAGGATTCCAGGTGGGACATAAGCCCCCAGGCTCATATAGGGAGGTGAAGTGGCAGGACTGTGGTTTGCTTGTGGATCTGCCTTTTCAGGTAACCGCACTAGTGGAGCCTTCCTTTCTGCCAAGGTGTAGCGTCCTTTTTGCTTATTCTGGGGGATACTTGGAACCTTCAGGAGGGGGGATGAGGGAGGACAGTGATTGTATCAGTGGCCTCTTCTGAAGATCCATCAGCGTCACTGGTGGGTTTAGTCATGGAGCCCAGGGTGCTCACCATCCCACCTCCTCCCCAAATTTGGCTTGTCCAGTTTCCCTGCTGGTCTCACCTCCTGAAAGAAGGGTCAAGTGTGTCCCTGACCCTACCTCCCCTGGGGAAAAGCCAGGTAGGGGAAGGCTCGCCTCTCTCTTTTCCACACACTGGTTCATAGTTAACCAAGCTCCCACCCTGAACTTCTCCCCGGTGCCCCAGCCAAGTTTCTGTTCTTTTGTTTAATCAATATCACTTTCACCTTTGTTTATTCCCTGGCCAGGGGCAGGGGTGGCCTGGAGCCGGGGCCTGGCAGCGAGGGCTGTGGGGTTGGGGTGGAGATGTAAATAAAGCGTGGCTGCCAGTGAGAAGTATGATCATGGCTGAGGCATGGTCTTGAGTAAGGTCTAGGATTGACTCAGAGCCCTGTCGATTTCTAGCTGTGGATGAATGACTCAACTGAACCTCAGTTTCCTTCAAAATGAGTAGAGCACCTTACAAAGCTGCTGTGCCAATACAATGAGCTCATATAGAGAAGAATCCAGCTTGGTGGCTGGCACACAGTGAATACACGTGCTAGCCACCCCAGCCCCCATGCTTGTCCTGGGTGACTGACATGGGACTTTGGGATAGAGTTGGTGACCTTTTCCTAGCTTCACGCCTGTAGCCTAAGGACTGGATGGGGAGTATATCTGGAGTGACAGCTGCTGCCCGTGGATTTGCTGAGACCCTTAAGGGCAGCCAAAACCCTTGAAGGGCAGGGAGGACGACTCCAGCCTGAGAGCCAGGAGACCTAGGTTCTAAGGCCAGCTCTGCCGCCAGCTGCTTGTGTGACCTTGGAAAGCCCCTGGTCTTTTCAACTGTTTGCTGGGTTATAAAACAAAATGTTTGGGCTCTGGGGCCTCAGATACTGTCTGTTGGCAGGTGTTCGTCCCTTTAGAACAAAATAGCACCTACTCCTCTTCTGTGGATAGTGTGGGGAAGCCTCCAGCATCTCTAAGCCTCTAGGCACCAGCCCCAGGTGCCCACTGTTATGGGTCCAGCAGGGCCTGTGGGACCCAGGCCCCATTGCCTCATTCACCTGGTGGTGTTTTCTGTTGTGTGAGAAGGAAAAAGACACAGGGAGACCTGAGGTCCCAGAGAGGATGCCTGTGCATGCACACGCCTGTGAAGACACGTTCCCTGGGCAGGGATGAGGTGAGCTGAGGAGAACAGACCAGACCCACATCCTTAGCCAGGAGCAGGGTGGGGTCCCTCTCTGGTCAGGGATGGGCCTGGCTGCTGGGTGGCCTGGTTCTTCAAAGCTACCTCAGACTGAATGGGCCTTGCTGAAGATTGTGGGGGAAGGGAGGGCTGTTGGCACCCTCTCCACACACACACACACACACACACACACACACACACACACACACACACACACACACACAATGGGATATGATTACCCACAATCCCCTGCAGCATGGTCCTGTCTTGCTGGCCTCCTCTTAAAGGGCTCATGCCCACTTTGGGAATTTCCCTGTTGTCAGGGGTCGTGGCCAGAGAGCACACTTTGGGAGTTGAAGAAGAATTTTAATTTTTCTGTGTCCTCCCACCAGCACACCTCACATAGCTTTTCCCAAGCTTTTCCCTTGGCTTGCTGTAGGAGGGGACCTAGCTAGGCTCATCTAATGCAGGCTTTAGGGACCCCAATCCTTTTTAGTGTCTGATGGGGTCTAATCCAGGCCATGCTGCTAACCCCCGGTGTGATGTTGGACACGTCGTTTATCCTCTCCAGGAATCCGCTATAAATATGAAGGGTTAGGGATGACCAGGTGACCACAAAGAGGGTTGAACTGGGAATAAATCTAGTTCAGCCTGGGTGTTGCTGCTGACTTGGCTGCAAGGTCTTCATACCCGCCTCCTCTTAGTCTTCATGTCTCTAAAGTAAAACAGGAGCTAGTAACCAATCAGCGTGCTAATCCCAGGGGTTGTTTTGAAACACCCCTTAGCACTTTCACATACTGAGAGAAAGGCAGGTGAGAAAGCAACTTCCATGGTTCCCGGGGACAAAAAGGGGTAGGGAGGGTCCCAGCCTGAAACAGCCCCACATCGGGACCCTTGCCCCCCTGTCTTGAGGACCTTGTGCTCTGACTCCCCACAGCCAGCCTGGTCTCCAGGCCAGGTCAACAAGTGGCCATAGTACCATCCTGCTCTCCTGGGCTGGTTTGACCTCCACTGAACAGCGCTCCCTTCTACCTGGGTAGGCGGGTGATCTTTGGGCACGTGTGTTTTTCTGTGTATATGGTTAAAGGCTCAGGTGACCCATGCTTGGGTTCTGGTCCAGAGTGGCCACTTTCTGCCTGTGTGAACTTGGGCAAGTGACATCACCTTTCTGAGCCGCT